ATATTCTCTTACCTAAACGACAAATTCTTTATGTAAAACCTGTATACGCGAGCTACGCCGCGGGCACAGCTAGTAATAAATAACAGTACTACGTACCACCTCCATAATATAGTTGCACCCTTCTTAGCTTTTCCACGAAAAAATGTAGTTAGTGTTAGACTTGTTTAACTTTTGTTTATCGATCAGGTAATAAAGGTATTTTAGATTCGTTTCTTATAATTTCGTTCTGTACTGACATCCTAATACATAGCTCCAGGAAGACTTCTAAACTTTTTGATAAAATTAGATAAAAAGTTAAACTAAGGTTCTGGTATTTGAAAGGGACGAAAAAAGAACGAAGTGTGAAATACGGGTAAATCAGGAATGTCTAGAACAGGTAAATGAAATTGTATACTTGGGGAGTGCTTTCAGCCGGGATGGAAGATGCGATTTAGATGTGGACAGGCGTGTCGCTGCCGGGAACAAAGTCAGTGGTGCCCTGACTGCGTTAGTCAAAAGGCAAGGCGTAGTGAAGAGTGCACGCTGCACGCCTTGCAATACATAACGCAGTGTTGGTACCGACTTTGTTATATGGCAGCGAAACCTGGGTATGCCAGAAGAAGCATAAAAGTAAGTTGAATGCAGTGGAGATGCGATCTCTTCGTAAAATGTGCGGCGTTACCATGGCCGATCGAAAGCGAAACGAAGAGATTCGCAATATGGCAGGTTTGAAAGATGACCTTATCACAAAAATTGATAAGGGCGTGCTTCAATGGTTTGGGCACGTTGAGCGAATGAGTGAAGACCGAATGGTGAAGAAAATATATAGCGCGAAAGTAAATATTAAAAGGTGTCGAGGTAGACCGAGACTAACTTTCGAAGACCATGTGAGCAAATGGCTCGAAGAGGGTAGTGTCAAGAGTACTCGGATACCTAGACGTGCATGTATGAAGAAGATAATGAATCTGAAAGAAGCGAAAGAAGTATGTAAGGATCGTGACACTTGGCGATCTGTTCTCTCTGGCTACCCCGTCAGGGATTGTGCGTAAAGATAAGTAAGTAAGTAAGATAAAAAGTTTGAGGTATTTTCGTTTAATTTTTTTTTCGACTTTTCATGATAGTTCCGAGATTCTATTAACCATATCAGCAATCAGTAATTTTGTAAAATTATAGAACTAAATATCCGGAAAAAATCTACTAATAAATAAATAAACTAAATATTTACAAAAATAACTTTTGATTGATATTCTCGATTAAAACTATAGCGCACATTCAGGACCCTGGTTTATATGTTGTGTATATTGTTCACCCGCACTTGTCCAATACCACGCAGGATTTTTATCCTGGAAAAAAATCAAAAATCCCAGTTCCGGTGCGAATTCTTAACTAAAATAATATGTAAAATACTTTTATCCCGGAAAAAGGCACAAGTGCAAAAAAGTGTTTGGATTCTAATTATGATTGTAATGATTTGTGTCATTACTCTATCTACAGATAGGTATATATAAAAAGACATCATCTATGCTAAATATTAATACTAATGGCCGAATATGATGAAGTATTTAGGCATAAGCACCGTAATCGTTCCTCTTCAACCGTGGGATAAATACATGGACGCATTATCCGAAGATGTCTACATGTAGTAAAACCTCGCTGCAGCTATATGGTTGTAGCGCGAATGGGTCGACTCAACTTGGGAAGGACCACGCTCCCACAGAATACCAGCATAAAATAACAGCTTATGCTCCTGTGTTTCGTAGTATGAGCGTAGAGAATCGGAGACCCTTTATTACTAGAAACGAGGCATTCCATCTTGTCCTTAGGGGTGACAACGCATCTGCTTTTTGATTCGTAATCAAAGAAAGATGTAGATGTCTGAAGGCCACAGTATCTACTTACCAAGACATGTGAACAGTGTTCTCTTTTGTCATTCTTAAAACATGTCTTAAGGCACGCTATCAGCGAAGCGTTGAAGCTAATTAAACGAAAGAATTGTCAAGTGTTGTGAGGGAGCTACAACACTGAGGATTTAGAAATTAATCAAATGGAGCCATGTTTGCTTTTGCAGCGAATAGGTAGTGGAAACGAGGGTTCTTCTTTCTCAATGCACTGGGGGCTATGGGCATAACATTCGAGCTGGGCTTACTGCTGGCCCAATTTCGCAAGGAATGTAACTGTTGCTGCAGCGTTGCTCAGAGTGGACGGACTTTTAAAAAAATATAGAATAAGGGTAACACATGAGCACACAATCCACCTGATGGTAAGTGGATTCTGTAGTCCATAGACACCTACATCTATCCTCAATTAAGAATCAAAATGCAGATGCGTCGTCACCCCTGAGGACTGAGATGCAATTCCACGTTTCCAGTAAAAAGGACCTCCGGTTCCCTTCACTTACCATACGAAACTAATTTACGTTGGTAGACCCATTCGTGCTGCAAATACAATATAGCTGGAACATAGCTCTACCACGTAATGCACTGCACACGGACAGCACATTTCGTGTTCAAATTGCCACATAATTTTGCAAGCTAAAGAACGAGAAAGAGCAACATCAGCAAAAGAGTTCGGGACTCGCTCTTGCAGGCTTGCAGCAGTGCATTTTGATCGTGTGTTTAATGAGTGCACTCGCATGTTTCAAAAACGCGCGGTTGAGGCCTTACTATCGGACATCCATAGCAACCAGGCTCTGATGACCAGTGTTGTCGTTTAAGAGCGACTTTAGACACTGTCAGTTATGAATAAGTCATAACGGCGGATGAAATTAATGCAAATCATGCAGTTCAAGGTGAAAAATTAATATCTTACGTACAACATGTTTGCGCAACTTTTTTTTTTATAAAACTGAAGTGAGAATACAGTGCCATCTAAGATCTAACATGCTGACCGACCGTGTAGCGTCGGTGTAAGAATATCCACTATCCCATATCGTTATGTGGATGTCATACGTAACAGAGGGAAACAAATCAGGAGATGGGCAGCAGTGGTTGCAAGAGTGGCAACTATGGCAAACAACCCCCTACGAGGGAATCATTTGGGGGAGGCCTATGTTCAGCTGTGGACTTTAATAGGCTGTAACAGTAACGGTAACATGCTTGAACAACTTTTTTTTAATCAATCAATGCAAGCACTTATACTATCTTAAACAAAAATAGAAATCACCTTAGCTCTAACATTAAATTACAATTTTGAAAACTTAGATATTAAACCTAATATTATAATCTATCGATTTAGAAGACAAACTTATAATAAATTTGTTAATAAATAATTTACTTAATAAAAACATTTTAGAGGTGATTGCATTACATACTGTAATGGCCAGTGATGACAGTACTGCCTACGTTTCTCAGCTCTTCCGGTTTATAAAATACAATCTGGGCTTAGCTCCTTGAAGTCAACGGGCATGCATTTTAACAGTGGTAGAGCCACGCGGCAGCTTTTGCTGTCGCACGGATGGGCCGGCTGACGGCTCGAACCGGGGTAGTACCACGACCTCACAGAAAACCAGCGTGAAGTAGAGGTTTACCTCTGCGTTTCGCTTGGTGAGTGCAGGTGGCCGGAGGCCCTTATTACTGGAAATGAGGCATTCCATCTTAGTCCTCACGGGTGACAACGCATCTACATTTTGATTTGTAACAGAGGATAGATGTAGATGTCTATGGGCCGCAGCAACCACTTACCATCAGGTGGACTGTGTGCTCGTTTGTCACCCTTATCCTATAAAAAAAAATGTCTTCGCATAAAATAAGTTGGACTTCAAAAGATGACAACCCATTTCTACTGATGCCTAGCCTTGATGCACCGAAATTGTGCAATGACACCAGGCTGCACATCAAAGAACTGGTGAGAAATATCGTACATGCTGCTATTCCGACTGTATTTTAATTTTTGGCATTCCATTTATTCCAAATAATTTACGATTGCAATTTTAAAGATTTTAATTCCAGGTCGCTATGACCATTAATACGTCCCTGGGTCAGATTTTAAAAGTAGTGGCTATTCATTTAGGCAATCCGTACTTTTCACATGATATCGAGCATCTGAAACTTGCACGTTTACTTCGGCGTGGGCAACTTCAAATTGCGTCATTAAATCAGCCAGTTTTTCTGCCATGCGCTTCGTTAATGAATACGTGATAAATATGCAAATTACTTCAGGTAATAATTTAACGATGTTATAAGTAGTGTCATGTTATAAGCAATTAGAACTCCACGCGAAAAAAATCGTAGACAGAGGCTTCTTAAAATAATGACATTAGTGTTGGGTTGGAGTAACGAAAATAATATTGTTTTTGACTACTTAGCAGCAGCCGTGGACAAAAGCTATTAAAATATAGGTGAAAATGGCCTATGATTTTACTAAATTATGTGCCCCGCGGGTGGAGCCGCAGGAACAAATTCATACATAAAATGCGAATTAATCAGGTTGACATAAAACAAAGTATTTTAATATTTCGGTACATTTAACTTATCATTTAAATACCTACATTATAACAACATTTAATGTCATAAGTTAGTCATAAGTTTTTAAATGAGTGACTCATTAGACTAACAACCACCTAATGAGATACGCCGCTTGCTAAATTTTTTTACTACCAAAATTACAATTACATTATTCAAAATATATATATTGTTATTTCTTATGCTCCATTTAAAGCAACCTCAAACGGTGTTCATAGAAGTTATACGGAATCAACAAAAGAGACTTATGATAATATTGACCGACTGATACGAGTACCATTATCATAAAAATTCAGACGAACCAAGCGTACGAACTGTACTTGACTAGGCCGTTCCGACTTATCATCTTGACATTAATTATTACCGTTCATTCTCTTTATCGTGCTCGTTTCTCGGTACGATAAGATTACGGCAGTCATAAGGTGTACTGCAGCGCCACTTTAGAAATGAATCGTACCTCATTATTGTGGCATGTGAACAGGATTGTTGTTAATTGATGATATTTCATGTGAATTAGAACATAAGTGATGGTGAACACAAGTGTTGTGTCGTTGTTTCGAAATGAGCGACTATCGTTCAATATCAGTCATGCATAACATAAGACCGTTGGAGTTCATTTCGAGGTCAGATGAGCCGCATCGAAGTCGGTCATCGTCTTGGTCATCGTGGAGATGGCAGAATAATTCGCAAAGATCAGAACCCAGATTCTCTTTGCAGTATCAGGTAATCAATCTATTTAACAAAGAAACCGTAAATATATTGCTAGGTCTGTATTTTTATAGAAAAATTATTTATATAGGCTGAAGTTATTAATAGTATATGATTTCAGGTATTTGTTATCATTTCAATTATATGTTGACTGGGCTGACCGGACACGGGGCCTCCGACTGTAATAAATATATTATAGTAATATTTCGTCGTTTTGTTGTTTATGGTGAATAATAATGTTATATCACAGAATAAATAATAGGTTTTATGAACTGGAATAAGATGAACTATGCGTTCATCTCATTCCACTTTCAGTTATTATGATATCGCAAGACAAGAGGCACTGACATAGATAAATAAATAGCACTGAATAATTATTTTATTAATAAAAGATGATAAGCCAACATTCTGTACTAATTCCTATGTCAATATATTTGTAATAAAATCTATAGTAGAGAATATATTTCCTTTCATGTTTAAAACTTTAAAAACTTTTCGTGGAAGTGAAAAATTCGTAAAAGTATATTAATAAACACATTAAATACCTATTTTATCAACCTGAATAAAAATGCACAATAGTGATGTTGACAATTTAAAAAAAAGCATATTTCGAACTTGCGTAAAGCGGAATGCATTGCGTAAAATGTAATGACAAAGACTGTCAAACTGTCACTTGATTTGTCATTCAAGTCGCAGTGGATAGTTTTCGTGAATTAGGTACCTACTTTTTCATTTGTGTGTTTCCGTGATTAAAACATTTCATATGTTTCTAGTGTTTAAATTTTTTGTAACAGTACAAAATCAGTGCTCTTTTCTGATGTTATCACCGTGTAGAATAAGTTTTAAGGTGTCGCATAAAAGATATTTCTAGCTAACGTGTCATTGCTTTTAAGTTATTCCAACCGATGTAATACTAAAAAGTGCCCAAATTGTTTATAATTGCGTTTAAAATTCGTTTATTTTCACATGGGTGATGGCTTGGCAATCGGATACACGTGTAAGTATCAAAATAATGGTTCAATTTGGAAGGGAAACACGAAATTTTTACTATAATTCAAATATGTAAATATGTCCTTGTAATTGATTATTTATACGGTTATATCTTCCTAGATGGACGTCATTATAGGTGATTGCTTTGTAGACGATTATGCTCCTAATATGTTCCAAATGCTTGTTTGCTTTTGTATGGACTTACGTAAAAACAATTTTTAAATTACCAAAAATTGGTTGCGATTATTTTATGATCTACACATAGTTTAGTTTAGTGTAGATTGATCTAACTTTTATTGTGAATATAATTTCACTAATTGTACTATGATTACAACAATATAAATAACTATGTTTTTATAGGTGGTAGAGCCATGCTGCAGGTATATTAGTAGTATAGTTGTAGCACGAATGGGTCGGCTCGACCGAGAAAGGACCACACTCTCACAGAATACCAGCGTAAAATAGCAACTTAATGCTGCTGTTTCGTATGGTGAGTGTAGAGAACTGGAGACCCTTTTTACTGGAAAAGAGGTATTCCATCTTAGTCCTCCTGGGTGATAAAAAATCTGCATTTTGATTCATAGAGATAGATGTAGATGTCTATGAGTCACAGCAACTACGTACCACCAAATGGACTGTGTGCTCGTTTGTCACCCTATCCTATAAAAAAAAAACAATGAATACTGAAATTATCATATAGTTCAAACTCCTTAAAATATTAAGAATAACTTCCCTTATTAGTTAGTTAGTTTGCAATTAGCTTTCTTCTGCAACTGACGGAAGGATTCTATTGTTCTTGATTCAGATTTTAATCTTTTCCTATGACCTTTTATGGGAAAAACTAAGGATTGGGCGAACTGTCGGACATAGGAGAGAGCACAACACATTTAGAACTACACAATGTTATTCATTCATTTCTAGTGACCTGATCATTCAAATATTAATTTGTCTTACGAACTGGGTCATTCAGTTCGATGACTCAAATGGATAATTTCTTGTTCCAGTACTCTGTGATCTCTGAGACCCACTCGATAATGTCATCCATCAGACATTACTATACTTTTTAGTCATATGTGCTGTCAAATGTTTGATGCGGAACATTCAAAAAATGTAATTGCAATCATCAATACTTTGATGCAACCCGGGTCAAATGAACAAGTCATTTACAATTGACACATGTATGTTTAGAACCCAATATTTTGTTCTGTTATGATTTCTCACCATAGTTGCTAGTTAATAATCTGATTACTAGGTATTTGGGCTTAGCTTTCCATTGACGTCCGTCGAGTTGGGTGTTGATACGTATTTGTACAGAAAAGTTACATTATTATAAGCACACACACAAAGTTTCAACATGCGGAAACGCATAATTTTTGAGAAAGAATTATAGAAAATCAATTATTCTTGCAATGTTTATGTCTAATCCTACCATAAAACTGGCGCCATTTTGTAATGTCATTGTTGACGTCAATAGGGATGTCGATTCTTTCCGAAAAAGGTCGATTTTTAAATCGATTCAAATCGTAAGTGGATGCATCGGTTCACAAAAAATCGATTTCTAATATATCTATATTTTTTTAATGTTTGCTTTTATAATGTAAATATAAACCCATTTTATGAAAAACAAGAAACATACCATGATAAATGATCTCTTATTGAAATTTGTTTTATTTTAACAGTACCTATTAGGGCAGATAACAAATAAAATAGGTTAGGTTCAACTTATGTCAAAGAACCGAATTGATTGACCCCGACTCCACCTGGTACGAGTCTGTCCTACCCCTAGAGTGGTTTTATAGATCCGGAGGCGCGTAGGGGGAGCAGCCTCTGCCTGCTGTAACAAATTGTAGGCATTGGACGAGGAGGCAAATTGTTATGCTAAGGTGTAGAGGCTGCTCTTCCCGCAGCGCCGGAGATGTAGCACTCTCAAAATAGATACAGAAATCCTTCTGAATCAGTCCGCTTATTTTTTTATGATGAAGGGAATTTTTTTCTCATAAAATGGATTTATATTTACATTATAAATGCAAACATGAAAAAATATAGATATTTTAGAAATCGATTGTTTGGGAATCGATACATCAGCTTACAATTCGAATCTATTTAAAAAACCAATCTTTTTCAGAAAGAATCGACATCCCTACTGACAATAATAATAAAAAATGGCGTCAGTTTCACGGTAGGAATTGACATAAATATTGCAAAAATATTTGATTTTCAGTATTTTCTTCTCAAAAAGTATGTGTTTCCGCATATTGAAACTTTGTGTGTGTGCTTATAAAAATGTAATCTTTCTGTAAAAATACGTATCAACATCCAACTCGACGGACGTCAATGGAAAGTCGTACCGGTATTTGGTCATGGGGTTCTCTGTTGAAATACTGAAATATGTTTTACTTGATTTTTCTATTGCTGAAAATTTAATTCCGCCAAGAACTTAAAATCCCAAAGCATCATTCCCTAATTTTATTTGCTAACAATGTTTTGTTAAGAGGACTGTACTGTGTTGGCCACTGTTTTATTAGTCAACTGAATTATTAGTATCTTTAACACTTGTAAGATGGCTCATTTTTCCCAACATACAAATGACTAATGTTTTGTTTTTAAACTTTACATACATTGATACATTTGGAAATATATTGTAACATTGAATTATTAGATGGCTAAGTTACAGCAAAAGCAGCCAGATTATGCTTAAGATCAAATTTTGAAAACATTCGAATACAAAGATGTTACTTCCATTTAGGACAAATTTACCATACCGTACCATTACAGATAACAAAAGTTTACTGCTTGACAAAGGCTTCACCTCATAGATTGCTTTATAGCCTTAGTTTCCACAAGTAGCAACTGCACTTTTTTATTTTTTATACAGCTGTTCAAGATAATGCTGCTGCCCATCTCCTGATTCAGCTTCCTTCTGTAACCTCTTAACCACCACCGAATTATATGGGTTAGTGGATATTCTTATACCTAACTGTTATGTGGGGAACAGTTATGTTAAATATGTGAATATTATACAATCTATTATGTAATTATTTGAAAAAAAAATACAATATCATTAGCTACCTATGCCTATGTACGACACCTATAATTGGTTCTGGCACTTGCTGGGTGCTGCCGCAGTGTGCATGTCTTGTTTGCTCGGGTTGTGCTATTTATTGGTCACGATGTACCCTAATCTAACCAAATTTATACTAAAGTTAACCTAATTTAGGGTTGCCAATCTCAAATTTAAAATACTAGTATTCGAAGTTGGAAAAACTAGCACAACTCAGTTTAATATCAAGATGCAGTAAAGACCTTGTCAAACTTAACTGCGAACCGAACCGAACTGACAATGTGACGAATGTATGTACTATGTATGCAAGTATCGGTTTGTTTTGGCTTTTTATATGTGACTAGATTGAAAGGATATTACACATAACAAAACAAAAACGCAGTGAGGCCGCCTGTAACATAAGAATTGTAAAAGTGACATTATTAGGGTGCATTAAAACCCAGGATGCTGCTTGAAAACTATCCAGGACATCCCAGGAGATCCCAGGAGACATGTCCTGGGAAAACAGGACGGTTGGTAACCCTAACCTAATTGAACCGTAATGTGGTTATTAATGTCAATTTCCCAAAATGTAAGAATATTATCTGTAATTTTTAAGTTATATATATAATATTATATACATCATAATTATGTTAAAACGGTGTCCTTATAATATATTGGTACTTATACTATCACTAAAGGTTTCAAATCAAATATTACCCGTAGTCAAATCTATAAAATTAAATATGTGCATACATGTTAACATCCATGTCACACCTATGCAGGTAGTTTTTGGGAGCACTATAAGCACTATAAAGTTGTATAATGCAGCTAGTTTTGGATCATTTTCTATGAAAATGTAACAACATTTTTAGTAAACCAAGTGCATTTTATAAGTTGTCCGACTATTACTTGTTAACTTGCTAAGCCTTCTTAGCTATGAAAGTCTGACTACATTATATGTAATAGTATTATATATACTATTCACTTTTCTGAAGAAATACCACTTTAAAGTTAAATATTTTGTAAGTGAACCTTTGAACCCTTGAAAAAAATTTGTTTCACATTCCATATTTTGAAAGAAATTTGTGTTGGTAACTTCTACAAAGGCCAAATGACAAATGAGTGTTTGAATAAAACTATAATTGAAAATGGTTTTTTGAAGATATGGCATATGCACTAATCCTTGTGTCCAACTTAAATAATTAATTGAAACAAAATTTGTCAATAATTTTTTGGCCAATCATTGTGGATTATGATTCTTTTCTTCTATTGCATTATCTTATTGATTATTCAGAAATGAAATTTGTTATAAAATACTTTAACCATAGAAAAGGAGTGCCTGTTCATTGGGCTTATAATAAACTTGTAATGATATTTAGCTTAATTTGTTTGTAACACGGTTCATACTTTATATATTAAAGTCAATTAGCATTTCTTGTTACTTAAACAATCTAAGATACTATAAGGGTCAGCTCAAACCAATGAGCGATACGACACGACTCGGTGCTACCTTTTTAAGATAGTGAAACAGAATATGGGTAAATATAATAATAATAATCTTTATTTGCAAGAATATGGTTTGGTTACAATGGTGTTTGAGTATAATTCGTTCTACATATTCTACCTTAGTGGTGTGCAAATATTAATGGTCAAGTAACCTAAACAACAACACTCTTCGAATTTAACAACATATATTAATTTAACAAAATATAAAATTATTTAATATTATTTAGTTGATTTGATAATTAATTTATTATGCCACAGTGTCAGACAATGCCATATACAGTATTTGATTTTTTGTGTCCCTGAAGGAAATGTAGTCTGCTTAATTCAATATTAATAATATCATTATTTGACACTATTTGTGCATTTGTAATGATACGGGCCAGAAGATTTTTCAATTTTTTTTTGTATTCTATAAGCACCAGGGGAAAATGTATTAGCAGGGGAGTGACACTATGAGCAGAGTAGTGACAAATTAAAGCGGGGAAGTGACAAGCCATTGATTATTAGCTAAGAAAGGGGAATAATATTCAAGAAAACATAGATATAAATTAAAGTCTAGATATTTTTTTTATAAACTTGTAAATGAAACAAAAAATAAAATTTGCTCACAAAACAAAACAATAGTACAATCTAATGAAACACCTATCACTATCGTGGATATATTATCGATGCAAAGTATTAATGAAAACATTAATTTTTTGCAAAGAACACAATTAATAATTTCAACTAAATTAATATATTTTACTTTAATACAAAACAATCAACAATTTACTTTTCAGATACATCAACTGGCCCGGGAAACTTGTAGAATACTCTGTTACCCTTCATAAGTATATTTAGCACTGATAGTATTGTAAAGATTTGTTCCCATTTAACATCAGACAGATATTCTGAAGAGTAGAGATCTTTAGAAATGTAGCCCTGATCTATCCTCCTTCATCAAAATCTGATAAACGTACCTGGCGTACGTTTGTCAGATTTTGATGAAGCAACATCATATTTGGTTTTATCATTTTGGGTGTATTTAATGTCGTCTAAGTGGAAGTGAGGGCAAAAGTTGCTACCAAAGCAGCTGAAACTCTTGATGTATAACATATTGCTCATAAATGTTCCTTGGACTTGATGTACTTTTATTGTACCAGCAAAAGGTTTAATGTTTGGTCGATTATCTTCAATTCTCTTCCTTTGTAAATTAATTTTTTTTCGTGTATCACAAAAATATGAATACTGGGGTAATTTTTTTCTAATTCCTTAGCAAAGTCTTCAATAGGCAATGTCAGTTCCTGAAGTGACAATTTTGTTAGGGGTTCGTTTACATGTCTCTCCGATATCACCTGAAGCTCCTTCTTCTGACTTTCGATGCGCCTTAGGTTTTTTGTTACTCATGTACTTTTTGATTTAATTTCATATTTTAGTATTTTTATAACTTTATTTCGTATTTAACGCTGACTTTCTGGTCGTCTTTTAGCAGTCACAGCTACATTATTTTGTGGAAGCGGAGGTTGTCGTTGACGTCGCAATAAATATTATTTGTAGTTTTCCATTAAGTCACATATATTTAATTTTCTGATGAAAAACAAGCTAGTAATCGGGGAATAATAAATGTATTCTTGCTTTCCTGTAATTTTTTGAAAAATTGAGGTTTGCCCCTTTGCGGCATCAACGACGAATTGTTTGCCACTTGTCTTGGAAAAAGTTCGGGAGAAACGAGCTCGCAGTAGGATCCTCTTTCACACACACCCTACACTTCACTTACCAATATCGGCTGTCACTCGAGAACCTTTTGTTCCTGTCGGTTGATGGTGCATCGAGCTATATGGCTGGCCCCTTGGCACTTTAGCTAACTTATCCATTGGGCTATATCTGTTACTTTGGCTGTACTGCAGATATCCTGCGCTTTCTGTAGTTACGACGAGAACCTACTAAAAGTAAACCTGCTGCAGTAAAATTGCTACAGCAATGAATATCTGTCACGGCGGCTAGTTTTAACGGAGGAGCCACCTGCGCAGGTCAGGATTATAGTGCTCAAGTGTATGCTCAAGCAGAGCTGCAGTCTCTATTCTTCTGTTGCTACGGTATTCCGATAAGACGGACGCAGATCAGGCGCAGGACCTTAGCAGAAGAATTTATCGACAGAAAAACCCAATAACTGATGACCCGGACCCGGGATTCGACCCAGCACCTTATGATCAGCAACAGCGTTCATGACAAGTAGACCATCATCACCATCATCGTTACAACCCTTCATAAGTCCATTGCTGAACATAGGCCTCCCCCAAGGAATGCCACAAAGCATGGTCCTGAGCCATCTGCATCCATCGACTTCTCGCATGTCTTACCTTGTCGTCACTCCTTCTAGTGGGGGGTCGCCCTACACTTCGCCTACCGGTACGGGGCTGCCACCCGAGAACCTTTCTGCCCCATCGGTTGTCGGTTCTTCAAGCTATATGGTCGGTCCACTGCCACTTCAGCTTACTAATCCGTTGCGCTATGTCGGTAACTCTGGTTCTACTGCGGATATCCTCATTTCTAAGTTTATCACACAGAGAAACCCCGAGCATAGTCCTTTCCGTAGCTCGCTGAGCGACCTTGAGCTTCCTCATACTGCCAGCAGTGAAGGACCACGTCTCAGATCCATAAGTCATCATTGGCAACACGCACTGGTTGTACTATCTCGATTTTAGGTTTTCAGATATATCAGTAGACCAACGAGAAAGTAAAAAGAGCAGAATTATGTACAACACGAGTGTATGAGCAAGCACACGAGCACTTTCTGTTTCTCCACTATCTTAGACCAATAGGATTGCAATTTGACACAACCAGAGAGACATCAAATGCAGGAAGGACCACATATGTAGGTGCTTTCCGAGACGTGGGGTTAGAACCGTTAACGTACTGACTCCATGGTTTGCGGGCTTGATTTTGGACCAACCCGAAATTCGAAGCCGATACCAAATACTTGGCAGTCTCGCTTACCACTAGACCTACGAGGTGGTCAGCGGTTCATATTGAATTCTTTAAATAATGTTTAGTACGTCGAGTAGTACAACAATCTTGCATGCCACTTTCAGTCCTTAGAAGGTACACTGACCTAAGAAAAGAGGACACGGCAAGCCTTATTAAGTTAGGTCGTTGCTCCCATAAAGAATAACATAATGTTTACGTAATCTACTTATTTAAAATAATATAATATATAAAATTGTTATAATTTAATATATGATTTACTCATTTTTAGACAAGATGGAAGTTAGGATTTATTCAATTTATGAAGATTTTTTTAGTCAACCTGATGGTAAGTGAACCATGTGGTACATCTACATCTATTCTCGATTAAGAATCAAAATGCAGATGCGTTGTCACCCCTGAGTACTAAGATGGAATGCTTTGCTTCACGCTCACCATACGAAACACGACAACATTAAGCTGCTAATTCACGCTAGTATTCGTGAGAGCGTGATCCTTCTCAAGTCGAGCCGAGCCTTCCTTGCTACGACTATAATTTAGCTACGCCGAGGTTCTACCACGTAATAAACTTGCCCGCGTGCTTTTACTAGTAAATGTCTGTAATATCAACTACTCATAAGCTCACCTCATTACTTTTTTCTGGGTGAACCGATTTCAATTGTTCTTTTTTTATTTGAGAGCTGGTGCTTCACATGTGGTGCCATATAAATTTGATCAAGGTCTGACCATTAGTTTTTGAGTTATTCTTAATAGTTTATATTAAAGTCGGCTGTACAAAATTTTTAATTTTAAATTGTTTTCATATGTTGCATGGTCTCTTCTATAGACTATTTTTTACTGGCAAACGTAATTCTTTGAGCGTAATTTTTCACAATATTTTATCTAAATTATACACATCATAGGACAACACATACCTCTTTCTATAGAATAAAGGTGAGAAACGAGCTCACAGTACCAGATGGTAATTGGATGATTATAATTACTTTTTACATTTTTGGAGTAAGTATGGGCAAACAAGTAAAACATAAGGTTTTAGAGTAATGCTCTTTCTGTCCTTAGTTGCCCGACGCAGTCACGGTACGAAATAGTGTGATGGTTTTTTATATACAATAAGGGCAACAAACGAGCGAAACAAGACGATTAAATGAGTTTTATAGAAGTAAGGCAAACGAGCACACAGTCCGCCAGATGGTAAGTGAATACTGTGGTACACAGAACTTATTTGAAATATCGAAATGCAGATGTGTTGTGTCACCCTTGAGGACTAAGATCAATGCTTCGCTACCAGTAGGTATAGAGGGTCTCCGGTAATTGTCACCAGCGCAGTACGAAGCACATCAACATTATGTCATTCACGCTGTAGTTTGTGATAATTGTTTACTTATATTAAAATAGATGTAAATAAAAATTATCAATCTTTTCAGACGGACGAGAACAGCCATCTTCTGCTTCGCCTGAAGATAATTGGAGCATATTCATTGGCCAAAAAAGACATATTTGGCGCCAGGTAAGGCTTGCTAAATTGTTACGAACCTGTTCCTTGGTTGATGATTATACAACTTCAATCAGTGTGACTGCCAAGGTAAAATGTATGTTGCTGGATATGTTGCAGGTTATTTATTTATTGACACACATGCATGAACGCGTGCACGCACATACTCACGCAATATCGTTATATATAAAAATTACGTGTCACGTTGTTTGTCCGCGATGAACTCCTTAACTACTGAACTGATTTCAATTAAATTTTCAAACTGTGTGCAGTTTGGTCCAACTTGAGAGATAGGATGGTTTTTATCCTGATAAGTGACACTCAATATATTTTTATTACGAATTTAAGGATTTTTTTATATGAAGGGTCGTCAAAAAGGGCAGAACAACAACGTCTGCCTGGCCAGCTAGTATAATTATATAAAACGCAAACTCTAAAAAGTATAGTCCAGGAGGAATCCGCGCATGAGTATCGAAAACTATTCCACCTCAATTTTTTATGCGATTCTCTTGAAATTGTTCTACTGATGACATTAAATGCGTGTTGCCATGGAGCAACTCGGTGCCGTATTGTTTAAACCAATTTTTTTTTCAATTGTGGTAGTATTATGTCGGTAACGTGAGGCAACGGGCAGAGAACATTCTCAGTGTTCGAGTGTGGACTGAAACTTCATTAAAATTATTTTATATAAAATTTTAAGTAATCTTATTTTAAATTTGATGAATTAAGATTATGCGATTGACCGATTTACCTAGTTTGTAAAGATGTGCGAGTTTATCAGCGTTATTGCCTCCATTATTGAATTTTTTGTCATTGTTTACACATTGTAAAGACTGCTATAAAGTTAACCAGCATTATGGCCGCCGTCAGTCCCTAAACACATTTTGTCCATTGCGATACATAGATATTCCCCAATTTGTTTTTGGAAAAATAACCGAAGTAGTTTTTCGACACTTTCAGTTTACGGATTGTGCAGCGGTGTTAAAATATATATACAGCGAGCTTTAATGTCTTTTCTTATTTAAATATAATAAGCCAATTCACTAGCCATTTAAATATTTAAAACTATCTGAATCCCGAGACTTTGTCCGCGTTACTTGATAGGTATATAACAAAGTTTTCGTATGTGCAAAGGAAATAATATCAAAAAGATCGCAAGCAAAAATATATATTTTGCTTACAAAATTTCTTTGTAAACATATGAAGTAACATACATTGCAACAAATGTAGATTCGTTTTCACCCGTGAGGACTAAGATGAAATGCCTCGTTTCCAGTAAAAAGGGTGTCCGGTTCTCTACACTCACCATACGAAACACAGCAGCATTAAGCTACTATTTTACGCTGGTATTCTGTGTGAGCGTGGTCATACCCCGGTCGAGCTGACCCATTCGTATTATAACCATAATATAGCTGCAGCGTGGCTCTACCACGTAAAATGTTATATAACAGCTTACCAAAACCTGGAACATGCCCAGCGTTCAAGAGAGTTGACATAAACGAAAACGGCAATAGGGAGAATTTGGTATAATAACAATAAAAGAGTGGCATAGAAGCTAAATAGTCCACTTGATCATAAGGCTCGAGTTACATTGCCACCGAACGGAATGGAAGCGAATTTTTGTAACGAAATTGTACATAATCTTATTACTAGTGACAACGCATCTGCATTTTGATTCGTAATCGAGGATAGATGTAGGGGTCTATGGGCCTCAGCAACCACTTACTATCAGGTAGACTGTGTGCTCGTTTGTCACCCTTATTCTATTAAAACAAAATTAGATTATAAATAATTATTACTGAAAACCAATATTTACTTCTAATATGTTTTGTGAAGAAACAGCAATAAAACCCAGCGATTTTTTATCAGACATTGCCCTACAAATACAAGCAGGTCTTTGGTGTTAAAGCCTGACACGTAACGCGATAAAATGGCCGCAGTATGGAAATAGATCGAGCATGTACCCGTTGCCGGATTAAAAATTGTACTCTGTAAAGGATAATTTACATCAGATGAGCGAATGCTCATTCTATCCCCACTAATAAATTCTTTTATTGTAAACGTAAACAAGCATAGAGCATTCTTTCGTTGTTCTGTCTGCGTTCACAAAGATAATATATAATATTCGAAGAATGCTTACTCGCTTGATGTAAACGGCACTAGAGTGTGCGAACAGTTGCTTATAGGAGTGGGCTGTAACAGGTAAAATTGCATATCTGTTCCGCCTGTTCCAGCTCCACATAAATAGCAGTTCCAAAAACCTGTTACAAAATAACAGTCTGTTACTACAGTCTTGATAGGTACTTCTCTTTATAAGGTGTTGAAACTATGCGAGAAAAGGACAGCGCTTGTGACAACTGTGACAGGGTGTCACAGTTGTAACAGTATCATTATTTATCTTAATGCGATAGAACATTACGTGAGTAACAATATGTGAGTAACGCTATAATATTCGATTATGTTTCATTTCACGCGATTTGTTGGCATATACAAAACGCTAATCAACACAAAGTCTCTTTAATAACGGATGTCGTCAAAACATATCTATTGCATGTCTTAAGTGCAAAGCGCGTAGGTATGTTCTACTAGCTCCTAAAAATCAAGATTTCAACGTTTTGTCACATAAAATCGTATCTAACAATCATATTAAACATATAAATTATATAAAAATGACATTGTCAGAAAGATAAATGATTGTTGAACTTATTAATGTCCTTTTTAAATCGATTAATTTCTATTTTTACATAAAAAGTGGTTTTAGTAGCTTATGGTGTAGATTTATCAAGTCCGTATGGATGCGTAAACACGATAACTTTTGAAAATATCAATTGTTTAACTCAATAAATTTTTAAGCTCTTCATCTATCACGTGGAAAACCATGGAATGTATAATTTCATTATAAAATAAATAAATTTTTTTCGGCGTAGAAATCCGGAAATTTTCGGTGTTTTAGCAGCCTTGTAATAATTTATTTTACTAAATAGAGCGCCTCACTCACTCACTTCGGCGTCAGCCGCCATAGATAATATACTATATAGGGCATAGATGAGCCACTCAGACAAATTATTAGGTGACGAAACGAGGGAAGTTTCTTCTGCGCTTTTGGGATTATAAATTACGGAAAAATACACTAGAGGGCACGAGAGGTTCAATATTATTTCAATATTGTTATTATAATTAGTTTGTTTTAAATAACTTCATTTTTTACCAACTTTAATATAATGGACTTCCGTAAATAATGCCTGATTCTATTAATTAACTCTTCATTTAGTTTGTTTTAGATGATCATGGTATGAATTGCTTCATCTCTTCTCATTGAATTATTCTATACTACCGCAGTATTTCAAAACTTCGATAGCATGATTTAGGCTTCGGTATAAATAATAAACACCAGCAGTGGCGTCATATTTTTAATAAATTGTGTAAAAGTATTGGGGAAAATTGTACTTTTAATGACTATGAGATAGCGTTTATGAGTTTATGAGGTAGCGAGATTACTATGAGTATCAACGTAAAATCAAGCTACGGAAAATTTTCATAATTCATACCCCTGTCAGCCGCCATCGTGAGTGGATACTGTACCAGTTGTTTGCAGCGGCTCAAAAAGATCGCTGTACAAATACAAAATATTCGAGAAACCAAATTTCATATATACTTAATTATTAAAATAATCAGAGATTGTTATTATAATATTTTAAAAGCACAGAATAAATAATAGTACTACGTACTAAAAGTAAGTAGCATGTATATATTTCAGTATATTTATACTTAAATACGTCTTGGACTTTACGGAGTGACCTGAATGATGATATGATGATCATATGAGCATTATGAGTTGTGCACTTTTGGATTTTCCAAACTTTTTTAAAATTGAAGTTTGACATAAAATTATTGAGAAATTGGAAGTAAAGTAGTAAGTAATTACTACTTTACTTCCAATTTCTCAATAATTAGTAATTGGAAGTAAAGTAAGTAATAAGGTTATTAGTGAAAACTTGTGTGTATTTAAACTACGTCAAAAAATTTACGTATAATCATGTTATACGTAATTTTTTTTAATGCGCTTAGGGCATGCGCAATTGGATTTACCGATAATTTTTAACATTTAATATACATTATACTAGACGACGCAACTACTACGCTCTAGGACATCATACGTTTTACTCTGTAGGAAATGTTTATTTGAGATTATATATATACCAGGGCGGCTCTGAAAATTTCGGGAATCAAGGAAGTGACACAACATTACTATTTAAAAATGTATTTATTGCTTTTCGAAGTATTCTACGCGAAATTTGACACATTTTTCCATACGATGGAACCAATCATTGAAGCAACCATTCCATTCGGAAGTTGGGGTCTCCAAAATGGCCGTTTTGTAGGCGTCCACAGCTTCTTCAGGTGATGAAGATCTCTGTCCACGCAATTTATTCTTTATTTTAGGGAAAGTATAGAAATCATTAGGGCTTAGGTCGGGGCTGTACGGCGGATGGTCTAATAATTCTATGTTTTCTTGCTCTAAAAACTCTTTTGTTCTGTGTGCGGTGTGAAAACTCGCATTGTCGTGATGGAGGATGATGCGGCGGTTGCAGTTCTCTTTACGGAGTTCAGAAACGACCTGTGGCAAACAAATGCTAGCATACTATTCTGCATTAACCGTTCTTTGTCCCTCAAGAGGAATAGTCGTAACATGGCCGGTTTTGGAGACAAACGTGGCCACCATTTTTTTTGCAACACTCCGTGAACGAACAATTTTTGTTGGCTTTAACTCATTTTCGAACACCCAAACTCGTGACTGGTTTTTTGTTTCGGGTTCGTATGCTTATATCCAGGATTCGTCACCTGATACGATGTTGTATACAGTATTTGAGGATCCTGCGTGGAATCTTTCGAGAGTTCTGACGCACCAAGTAACGCGAGCCGCTTTTTGCTCTTCACAGAGCGAATGCGGTATCCATCGGGAAAACAACTTTTTTACACCTAATTGTTCATGCAAGATTATTTGTATTTGACTC